CCCTACAAAGCCGGGACGGAGCACGCCGGGTTCTCACCGGACCAGGCTCTCCCCGGGCGGGGGGGGGGCGGCGGGGGGCATGCGAGTCAATGAGGAGTGGTCAAAGAGTGTTGGAACAAGTGGCGTTGACAAGCGCTTTTTCCGGCGAAGCTGATGGCCGAGGTGCAGCGGGATTCATTCCTCCCCTTGCACGCTAACTTGAATCGGATCCATCTGCAGTCGAGGTCGAGCGTACAGCTGGCATGGTCCGCCACGACAGCGATGATGAGTTCTTCTGCCCTCTGACTTATTTTCTGTGCACCCGATACAGACTACACGCGTATTTTGTTGCCCGTGTTATTGCACGCGGGAGAGAGAAGAGGCGACGGTGGAGTATCCCCGTCCCCTCCCCTCCCCCCCATCTCCGATACTCTGCTTCAAACCACGCCGGGAAGCATTGTGCCGAGACGATCACATCTAATATTGTAGACAACAAATTTTGATCACAGTTCTTGAGTGAGAAACTGGGGAGACGGAGGGTGTTCGGCATGCCGCCGCCACCTGTGATGAGGAAACTAGTTCTTGTCCTTGCGTCAAGTGCACGCGTTCGGTTGCTTGGTGCTGGTGATGAGAAAAGCCCGTGCGTACAGCAGTAGACTAAAATTAAAATGTATTTCCTGGTACATACATGCGTGTGAGTACAGCAGTAATCGTCTTTGTTTCAATGTTCGATAATTTTTTTTCAGAAAAAAAACAACACCCCTATTCGGTTCCCAGCTTGTCCCATTTCTGATTTCAGAGGCGGAAGAGACGAAAGAGAGTGTGTGAGTCGCGAACGCACACACGCGCTTTTTGTGCCAAAGGCGAGAGCAGTGCAGAGACACAGAGAGGGAAGGGCGCCGCCTCCGCCGAGTTGCTGTCCGCCCTCTGCGCACAGCGGCGTTGCGTTGTGTGTGTGTGTGTGCACGCCTTTCCTATTCTACGAATCATCAAGTGCAGGAATAGCCCTCTGTTGCTGCAATACACAGCAGCACAGCAGGGCAGCTAGCCGTCGTTGGCTGCTTTTTTCCGCCAGCGCTACTAAGGGGTCGATTTTGAAGGGACTAGCTGCTGCTGTTGGGGGCCATCAGCTGCGCAACCCGCAAGGGAACGGCTCGCGCCGTATCGGGGGGCACTTGAGGCGTGGGTTGCGGCAGCCGGAGAGATACAACGCTCGCCGACCAGCCCTGCGGATAGCGAACGGATAGCGAGCGAGCTCCACGTTTTCGGGGACGAGCGAGAGAAAGGGGGCGGGAGAGGGATAGCGACCTTCACTCGGGCTGTGTAGGCGTTTGCTTGGCCCACGCAAGAGGGAGAGAGGGCCGGCCACCTAGAGGAAGGTGAGAGGGTGCCTACTACTGTGCCTTTGGCGTTATCTGTGGTCGCGTGGGGCTGGCGCTTGTGGTGTGTTGGTTGCCCGCGTTTGGTCGAGCGTTTCGAGTCGTCGGCAATCTGTTCATACCTTCTGCAACCTGCACCCACGTTCAACACCGACACCCAAAACACTGCTGCTGCTGCTGCTGCTGCTGGTGGTGTGTTTCTATGAACAAACACTAAACACACGTTGGACGAGCTTACTTCCACGGAGCTGTGCGCGTTTTGCGAGCGTGTCATTCGGCCACGCGTTGTTGCTTTTGCACGGTGTTATTTGGTCCCACTTTCAGCTGTCCGGTGCACAAGCAACACGTGTGCTCCGCGCGTCCTCTCTCTCCTCGCTCGTTGCCGCCTTTGCGAACGACTTCGAATATGCGTAGGAAGGAACAGCTCCTTTTTTTCTTTGGTTTATTATAGTGAAGGGATTTGCGTTTTGCTTTCGCCTTTCATACGAACACCATGCTCGGAGAGAAAGCAGGGGCCTGTGTCTGATGGTGACGAGAAAAGATTTGCCAAGCGGGGGACACAAAAAACTTGGACGCGCTAGCATCAACGTCAGTTAGTTGACATGTAATCAACTTCGATATTTGATCGGGTTATTTACGAGGGTGATGATGAACACGAGATAGTGCGTGATCCTGCTGCCCAAAAACAGAGCCTGCCATCGCCATGACAGAACGGAAGGCGCAGGAGAACTAGCACGTTTGCACAGGAGACAGACAGACATTGCAACCCTTCCTGCTCAGGTTTCCATCCAACGCGCCCACGCATCTAATTAATGTATATCCAGAAGTTGTTGATCTGTCTGTCAGCGATGGGCCTGGAGATCCCCCCCCCTCCCGATGTCCCGCCGAGAAGCTGCATCAGCTTCTATCTTGCGCGCGCAACAAGGCTGTGCACACACACTACCTTCCCCAACCAAGGTCGGGAATGGGCGGGGGATCAACATGACGCATGGCCAGCTGCTTTCTCTCTTGAGCGGAGGTAGCGCACGCGATAGCGCACACTCATATCGGCGTGGTTGCAGGCGCTGGCCGTTGATGAACGAACACTGGTGACGGGAAGCGTGTTTGTGTCACTTGCGACGAGAGAGGGACAAGAGTGAACGAGAGAACGAACACGGAAGAGGCCGCACAGCGGACGGAGAGTCGATGATGTGTGTGTGTGTGTGCCTTGAGTAGATATAGACTGCTGTTGCTGCGGAGAAAATCGTGGTGCAAAGACGGCTGCTGCTGCTGCTACTGCTGCTGCTGCTCCTGCTCCTGCTCCTGCCGCTAGTCCTGTGTGGACTGACTATCAGAGTGCTGCTGTGATGCCCCTCCGCTTCAGCTCTTTTTATTCCGAGCTACATGCACGGCCCCGCGAACCAAGCTCCAATTTGTCACCAACAATAGTCCGTCCATGCTCCTCGTTCACCACAGCAGTGCAACAGAAATCTGGATCCGACGTTTTCCTTTGTTTGAGGGGGGGCAGGGGGAGACAACCTGTTTCGCGTCCAGAGCACAGGGTTGGTTGGCTATGCCCTATATATCTCACAGCAGTACCATTGATTTACTTACGAGATACTGCTGTTCATGTCACATGGCTGCAGCCGTGACACTCGTCCGTAAGAAAAAAAAAAACGCGAAACTACCCAGTTGAGCGAGTCAATCGCAGTTGACCGAAGAGGATGACGCAATGGAGATGAACGCAGAGGCGCGCGCGCTTCTGATTTATCGTCGAGCGCGCCGTCGGGGATGACCATAGCAGTGGGCAGCGAAACGTTTTGTCATTGATTTACCACAACATTGGTTTTGTCTCAACAGAACAATAGGCACATACACCCTTCCTATTATTTATAAATAGTCTACCGGATTTCCCGGCGTGAGCGTACCATTGGTCACGTCGCAAGATACCACACTCCCCGGTCGTAGTTACAAAGCTCATGTCTCTGCAGCAAACACAAGGCAGTGATGGTGGTGAGAATGGCGGCGTTGGAATAGCAGCTTACAGTTTCGTCGGGAGCTCTCCCTAAATTACCGTCTGATTTTGGCCATGCTCTTCGTCCCGGAGAAAATGGAAAATCGGGATTTGCAAATCGGTCCAGAGGGTGTGGTATCCTGTGCGACCTGTTCACGTGGCAGGTGAGAGGTCTTGCGTTTACTGGAGCGGTGTTGGTTCTTCCCAATCAATGGTTTGTTTTTGGTTGATTGCGGGAATGTTCGAGCGAGCGCCCAGCAACCACACACGAGTCGCGTAGGACTGTTTTGTACACGGTCGCTTTTTTTCTATTTGCGCAACATGTTCGTACTCCGAGTATGCATGCACACATGTAGTCAATGAGTATCAGGTACTTTTTCACACAGAGCAGCGGTTCGTTGTCTGCCAACGGCGTATATAACGTTGTCTACCTCCGCACCCCTTCACTCAAACCAAGAGAGATCCTACCGCCGTTCTCAAATTAGGACAAGACTGGCGACACAGGCTGGTGCTCCGACAAGGGCATTTCGCCGCGTTGTTTCCCGACCTGAAAATCTGTTGATAGCGGTACACCGGTCGCCCCGGTGGTGTAGTGGTATCCTCGTAATCCGCTAGTCGCAGAGGTCATGAGTTCGAATCCCCATGTGGTGAAAAATTTACGAAATGTGCGGGTGAAAGCGAAACATAGCTGGCAAGCTCTCGTGAGTGCCAAACTTTGACGTTAGCACCGTTGACGAGGGAAAGGGACGGCTGGACCCTTCTCGCGACAAAAATAACATTCAGCACGCACCGCTGGAGGAAGGTGGGGCATGAAAAGAAATACAAAGAAGAAAAAAGCCCTGGTGTTTACCCCCTCCTGTGTGACCCTGGATGGTTGTAGTTGTACGAAAAAATACACTGAAAAGTGTAGCACTCTACATACGCTGAGAAGTGTAGTACACATCTCACCACGAACAATGGGGGGACTGTCTCCACAATAAATAGGACGAAAATACACACACAAACAGTACAGGGCATGTTGGAGGAGCGGCACATGCGTATGGACACGCGCGTATCTGTTGCTGGGGCCGTAGTGTGGAAGGTTGTATATAGCTGCGGGCCGATAATCAACAAATCTGCGTGTGTCCATACCATTTGGTATCCACATGCTGATTTAGTACGCGCCGTCACAGCCGTCCCCTGACGTGCGATTCGTCATGGCAGCTAAATAGTGATGTGAGCTTTTCGCGGGATTGGGTCCGTGACAAAAACCTACTTCCTCCTCCCCATACCTCCTCCCATGTAGTATTATCCCGCCCAACTTGACCCACCTCTCAGATGAAAACATAATAGCGTCTTGCATTCCCTCTTCGTAGCCTCCTTGATTGTCCATCATAGGCCTTTGCGTTATAACGAAGCGGAAAATATCCTTGCCTTTATAATAGACAGATTTCCCGTTCGAGATAATCCAAGACCCCAAACGAAGGGATGTTCTCCACGAGACAGGCAGCTGTTTTCATATGCTGTTTCTACATTAAGACACCATCAGTCAACAACGGCGGGCTCTCGAACCCAACTGTCGCGTAAGCAGTAGCAACGGCTGCAAGAACATTCTTCGCCCACACTATGGAGACTCCTGACCGCCACTATCGAGCCCATCCTTCTCATGGCCAGGTGTCGTGCCTAGACATTGTGCGTCGTGCCATTCGGTGTCTTGACTCCGACTTCCTGGTTATTGACCGCGCCAAAGGTGCTGCTACTCCTCCCGCCAGAAACGAATTCCTACACCAGAACAGCCACCGTGTGTTCGGTCGTGCACCCCTCTTGGAGCCTTGTCATCGTGCTGCAGGGGGGGGGAGGGTCACGATCCACCGCGAGGCGGGACGGGTTTTCGACACACGCGTCCACCACCCACCCCCGTTTCCTCGAGGAAGGTTTCATTCAGCGAAACAGAGTAGTGACGGCTTGCGATATGCCGCAAGGCATGGCGAGGTGTACACGAATCCTCGTAGCTATAGCATGGCTGGCGAGACTATGTGCGTTGCCGCAAGGCATGGCGAGGTGTACACCGATCTTCGTAGCTGTAGCGTGGCTGGCGAGATGATGTGCGTTCCGTGGGCCTCTCTCTCTCTCTTTCGACACACCTGTACTCGTCCTCCGCTTCTGGAGCCGCTTCTGGAGAAAGGTATAGGAGCATAGACTGTATATAGGAACATCGGATGTGGAATCATCACTATGGCGATCGTAGCGGGCGCGCTAATGTCGGCGAAAGTCGACCCAGATCGAGTCTTAAAACTCCTGCAGTTTACAGCGGCGATGGGGGCCTCCGAAACAATGACGATGTTACTTCCGAAAACAGGGTGAAAACTGCAGCCATTGAAATACGCAATGCAGCTATTCGCCGTGGGCCTTGAAAATTAGGTTCAAACCAGGCTTGGCGGAGAAGTTGGGGTGTGCATGTTTGTGGGTGTGCAACGCGTTCAGGGCATGCAGAGTGTTGGGTCACCACCACAGCTGGAGGTTAAGCAGAATAGCGCAAAACCCCTATCGGGAAGGATACTCTGGGATATGATTCCAGGGTTTACTACTGCGGTTGTGCGTACAAGAATAACGTAATTCCTATGCGGCGCAACACGTGTGAGATGATTTGTGGGCCTATGGGATGGGGCACCGTACAGGGGCAATTGAAGGAGTACCCGAGAGGGACAGCCTGCTGTCGTACCCCGGCTGGCAGCTGTGCCCTAGGTTGGCGATGGAGACATTGCACTGGCTGGTGCGAGGCAGACATTCGGGGACGAAGGAGAATGGGATAAACTTATCCTGACGATAAGAGCCTCGAAACCTTTGCTGCATGCAAAGTATCATGTCAGAATCTGGGAGTGCCAAAAAATGTTTCGCGCCTGCCTTGATGTTGATTCACACACACTCACCCCCCCCCCCCCCCCCCCCCCCCCCCCCCCCCCCCCCCCCCCCCCCCCCNNNCCCCCCCCCCCCCTCCCCACTCCAATTTTGTTGTGGCGGAACCCGGCCTCATGCGGATATCAGTGTTTCACTGAAGTGCAGCTCGGGGCTGTCCTGGGACATGATCTCTTCACCTTCTTGCGGTATCAACCTCATTGTTGTTAGCAACTTACTGCGTTATTTATCGGCAAGAAATTGCCCTACAATATAGTGTCTTTTACAGCCTGTTTGAGGCAGTCTGCCCCTTTCGTTGCAGACTCTGCCCGGAAACGTAGAAAACCCCCCAATAGTTTTTCGGAGTTGATTTTTTTCTTTGACGACGGGTATGAGTGGCTGGTTGCTGCGCCAACGAAATGAATCCCATGTGTCCAGCAGTTGGACAATACCTGCAGCGCGAAGACTCAATGATGTCGTTTTCGTTTATTGCCTGCTTCGCTGCGTGTGACAACCAAAGAGTTGCGAAACTCAGGCTTAAGAAGCTACGTATTTGAATCCCTGGCATGTTTTTAGCATTACAACAGGGCGCTCCATGCCCTGTCCTAAGCCCTATACAGCAGTCCCTGGGTTGCTTACCCCCAGAGGAAGAGACGACCAGCAGTGTTTTATTTAATCCGTGGTATAGTTGATTATACGAATAGGGCGCTCACTTGTTCCTGCCTGCCACAGGAATACTCGCAGAGGAAAAAACGAGCCTCGGGGCAATGTAAGCGGTCCTGCTTTGGTGGCACCTTCATGTACGCATGCGAATGCTGGTCTGTTGTGGTTGCCTGGCCACGGCAGGAAAGCGTCGGCTCTTGCGTAATGCGGGCGGGGTACCGTAGATGACACAAGATACCACGCTCGACCACTCTGCAGCAATATGCGATGATGTTGCCGGAAACGTCGGCGTTGGGATCGATCGTTTCGTTGAGGTCTTTCCGAAAACGTATCCATCGTTTCATTTCATTCGCGATTCTTACATCCTGTTGGTCGTGGAGAAATCGAGCCTTGAAAATCGGTCCAGGTTGCGTGATATTGTCTCATGTCACCAGCGGTGTGTCCGCCTGTTTGGTTCAGCTCGTTGCTGCAGGTTGTCTCATTACGGGTGTCTTCTCAGGCATTCCTGGGTAGCGACAGACTCTGGACGGCCGTTTTTTTTTGGGGGGTGAGGGCGCCGCCGCCCAGCGACGGTTCACCAACTCCTACGATGACAGAAACCGCAGCCCGGCGGCGACAGCAGCAACAGTAGTAGTAGAGCAGAAGTAGCAACAACAACGACAGACAACAGAAGGCAGTAGGAACAGCACTTCACTGCCAACAGCAACTAGCACAAGGCACGCTGAACGCCCAGGCGTTTGGAGCAAATAATCACGAGGGGTAATGGCGGCTCCCTCCTGTCTCCATCTACGTAGACTTCTGAGACCAAACTTGTTAATCTTACCACAGGCCGCCTTCGCGGGATATTATTTTTGTTTAGGAAAATAGGACAGGGAGGGGTTACGCAGACCATATTCCCTAACCCTAGCCTGACCCCAACTTCCCCGAGTGCATGCTGTGTCCATCATGTTTACTTGATGGACTGCGAAGGCTTACCACCATCTCCCCCCTACCCCCCTCTTGGGTCTGTTTTTTTTTTTTTCAAGGAAGAAGCAACAAACACCAAGGGCCGGAGCGAGTCCTTGGACGGGAATAGACTCGCGGCGCTGTGAAGTGCAGCAGGCCTTAGTTGGAGAGAGGGAGAACAAGCGTAGCGGCTGTATTGCTTCTCTGTTTATTTACAGTCTTCGGGAGCGGCGTTGGAGTCGTCCGGAGGCTCGTACTGAAAAACGAGGGGCGGTTTTGGCCGATAGCTGATGGTGTCACAAGGCCCGGAGGGAATCAGCAACAGCAAGAGCGTTCAACAAAGGTGGGTGGGTGGTATGCCTTTTTTTTTTTTTTCAACGCACATTTACGCGCAGCGGTGCAGGCGCGTTCGTGTCGGCAACCTAGTTATGCGCGGCGTGCGTACGCCAGCGTTGGCGCGCGCGAAGCGTGCTCCAGCACTAGCTCGGTACAACGTCCTATGCATAGGCTTACTCAGTGCACACCAAACAGGCTTGGGATGTGTATTTTCGATTTAGGGGTGGGTCAGGCCTGGGGAGGTCTAGCGCCGTGGTGTAGCTTTTGGGCTGGAAACCTGCTTGTTGCTATGGTATCGTGTCTACCTCCAAGTACACCCCAATAACTGGCGAACTGGTGACCGCAATCTATGTAGTCGCCAACGTTGGCATGTGCACGCCGGTCTGCCTCATTTCGCCGTGAAAAATTCCTGTTAAAGTATAGTAGAGTAGTGAAGAAGCAGGCCTTCCTCGCCGCGAAAAATTCGTACTATGGTAGTGAAGAAGCAGGCCTGCCTCACGAAATGGACGTACGTATGGGTGTTCGCTTGACGTGTTTTTTTCGAGAGGTTGCAGCATCCGGTCGCCCCGGTGGTCTAGTGGTATCCTCGTAGTCCGCTAGTCGCAGAGGTCATGAGTTCGAATCTCCATGGGATGAAACATTTACGAAATGTGCGGGTGAAGGCGAAATATAGCTGACAAGCTCTCGTGAGTGCCAAACTTCGACGTTAGCACCGTTGCCGAAGAAAAGGTACAGCTGGACCCTTCTCGCGATAAAAATAACATTCAGCACGCACCGCTGGAGGAAGGTGGGGCATGAAAAGAAATACAAAGAAGAAAAAAGCCCGGGTGTTTACCCCCTCCTGTGTGACCCTGGATGGTTGTAGTTGTACGAAAAAATACACTGAAAAGTGTAGTACTCCACATAAACTGAAAAGTGTAGTACACGTCTCACGACGAACAATGGGGGGACTGTCGCCATAATAAGTAGGACGAAAACGCACACACACAGTGTGTTGGCATGTCCATGCCTCGGATCCGCTGGGCACCCTGTGACTGCTGCGGCCATGACCCAACACCCCAACCAACATGCATTCGCTAGATGCGAGGTTATGAACACGCGGGGCTTGTAGGTTGAATGTACAGCAGCACTCGTGAGATTAGCCCTTCGACAGGAACACAGCTGTAAAGGTGCCTCCGTCCAGACATGCCGTTCATGTCGGCAAGTAATCCGGCAAATACTGTACGTCTATGGTAGCAATTCTGTTTTTTTTATTTTCCCGCCATCCCATTTGCTATCCACATGCTGATTTGGTACGCAGGGCCTTGCGTGTCTCATTTCAAGAGTTCTGATTGGGGGTTATAACCAAGTAACACGTGACGTGCGCCGTCCACGAAGGTCTTCTACCAATCAACAAGAAGGGATTTGTCAAGACAACAGTGTTGCTATGCACGCAGCCAGCGATTTCCCTCGCACTTGCTTGGGGTATTTACATACGTCCAAAATAAACGGTCGATCCCGTGCTTGACTGCCGGTATGATAGTCAAATAGTGGGGTCAGAGGGCCGGGGTGACGTTTTGAAAACATTTGTCCGTTCCGTACAACTATTTTCGGTACTTTTATGACAAGGGAAACATTACTTCGGGGCCGCACGTGTTCTCGCCCGCGACGAGCATGGAGACATGCACCACAGCAGTGGAAGACGTTCAATTTGTATTCTGTGTGCCCCCATCATCGTAGATCCTCAGTACGGTACGTCTGATCGTACATCCTCCGGAGCAGAAGCAACGACCGTACGTCCTTAGGTTGGTACTGTACCGCCGTGCACGTTGTGAGTGCGAGCCATGGCGCACTCACCCAGACCGAGACGCTCAGTAGCCTTCGCAGGGGGTATCGTAGTATTACGTAAACATGTTGGATAAAGCATACAGTCGGAGAAGTTTGGTTAGGGTTAGGGTTAGGGTTAGGGTTAGAAAGTAGGATCTGCGTACCCCCTCCCTGTGGTATTTTCCTCATGAGCCTTTTTTTAATCGCGCGAAGGCTGTCCCCGACGTTGGTATGCTCGACTCGGTCGCTCCACAAGGAGAAGAGAGGCCGTGAACGCAGACACGAGTGGTCTTGGGCAAGGTCTCGTCTCGTCGAGAAGTCTCCTCGCACGTATGCTACACATCTGTCGGTTTTTCCATAGCACCGTCTTGGTTGCGGAGGAATTGAGCCTTTTATTTACCCTTGGTGGAACAAGTCGGTCTTTTTAGTAAGAGTGTGCGTGCGATCACTCGCATGCTGGTGAGTGTGCTACAGGTGACCGAATTCGGTTGGAGGGTTGGTTTTGATCGGAAGGTGTCATCGTGCAGAGCGAATGGGCCAACGACGAATATGTACGTTCGCAAGGTCTTGCGGCCATCGGAAATCAGCTCCTTCTTTTTCTTCTGGGCTCTGTATCGGCCTTCTTTTTTTCGTTTTTTTGAACGTAGAGACTACCAATTAGCAAGGCAGCTTTTGCCCAGAGGACATTTTTGCTTCAACGCGAAGTTGCTTCGCGCAAGTATAGTTTGCTTTGTGCAACTAGCGTTGTGGGGGCGGTGTTCGTCGACGATACCCACGCTGCTACCTGTACAGCAGCAGCCGCTGGTATCCACCTTGCCAGTTTCTGGTGCTTTTTCTGCGATTCTGTTGCAAAGAGGAGTTGGTCGATAGCATTTTTCCGCTCCTATGCATGTGTTGCGTGAAGTCACCATGGTGCACACGAGCGGTGTGCTATTTCGGGCGATTTTATTATTCTTACGGGCCGAAGCCTCAAACCGTTCTCTGTAGGACAATTTTCCGCCACTGTTTTATTTTTGTTGCCGCTTTTTGGCCGTAAGTAGTGCTTCTGTGAACGTTGTCGGAAGAGAAGAATTACATCGCTCCCACCGAACAACCGGGGATATGTCTTGTGGGAACAATGCCCCGTCCTCTCCAGGACGCGTGTCAATGGTCCAACAGTAGTCAAGGAATGCAAAACATAAGTACGCCGCCCCCTACCCTACCCCCCCACGTGGTGTTACATCCGTGCCTGGTTTTACAAATTTTGTTGTAACGGTATTCTGTCCGCCTACCATGTGTGAATTCACAAATGTGTTGTAGCAGTCATCTGTCTGTCTGTTGGTTGGTCTGTGTGCCCGCGCCTGGTTTTCCGCAGGGCCTCTATGGCTTCGGGAGAGAGAGGGCAGGTGCGGGAAGTCCCCTTGTTAAAGGATGTCAGTTTGGCGAAGAGGGAAGCCTTGTTCGTGCAGAAGGTGGAGCTGTGCACGGTGGTGTACCGATTCGACAACGAGATGACCATGGGCAACAACATCGATGCGACGGAAACCCGGGGGAAGGAGCTCAAGCGACAAACGCTGATGGAGCTGTTGGATTTCGTCAACACGCAGGTGATTTTTATTTATTTATTTTTTCGAAGGAGCTCAGACGACATAAGACGCCGACTGGACCTGTTTGATTTCGAAAAACATGACAGGTGGTAATTTTTTGTTTTTTTTGTTGTTTTTTTTCAGGAACAACACACACAGCATCTTGGAAGAGTCCATCCAGGCGATCAACTCCCAAAATAGCATACATTTTTCTTGCATCCACTGTGGCGATCGGTGGGAATGAGGCCGATGAAAAAGTTGGTACTTGCGAGTATTGTCTGAGGCTGTGATGAGTTACTGTAGCTCCGCAGGAGCAGTGCCGCCCTCTGGAATCACTGTAAATGTTGTGCGCATACGTCAAGAGGCGGAAATACGGCACACCCCCTAGACCGATTGCCGCACCTCGATTTTTTTACCACCAATCCTGTCCCAACACCAATAATGGCGCATTTCGAAACATCTCATCGAGATCCTTCCATAGCCGTACTGCGCCCTTCCGCTCCCCGTTGGTTGTGGAGCATTCGAGCCTTGGAAATCAGTGTAGGGGGGGTACCATCTCTCCGACTCTTGCGGAATACGACGGTACGGTATACGGTACGGTATACGGTACGGTACAGACAATCTTGGTCGTGGAGTTATCGAGCGTTGAAAGTCAGTCTAGGGGGGGGTACCATCTCTCCGCCTCTTGCGGTATTGCTCCTCGACCCGTACATTCCCGTCTTGGGAAGTTCGTGCGCTTGTGGAAGGCATTTTCGCGGTCTTCGTCCTTGGGCTCCCGTGTTCCCGTGTTGTTTTCATGAGGCGAGAGTAGTGGGTTGTCTGCACGGTTGGGCCTCGTGTCTTGCGTCGATCGAAGTGATGACAACGACAACGAGGGTGAGTGCTTGTTTTATGTTTGCGGAGGGAAGGGGGGCAGGGGGTGGGACGATGGTTTACCCATGTAGATGGCATGTAGATGCGTACTAATATGGTAAAGGATACAAGAAATCCCTCCGGAGCGGGCTTTTGGAAGCACAGCATTGTCATCAAGGGGCGATGAAACTTGATTTACATGCAGGCAGCAGTACCAACCCACAGCTGACTGCACGCTGCGGGGTGACGTTTCCCAAGCTTAGTTTGACAGCTCACGCAGCTGACGTGTTTTTGCCTCGAACAGCCCAGCGAACGACCCCCCCCCCCCCCCCCCCCCCCCCCCCCCCCCCCCCNCCCCCCCCCCCCCCCCCCCCAGCCTACACGGGGAATCAGCTATCTAGAATCCGCACACTGATGCCTCTTTGCCCCCCTCCCGTCCTCGGCGTGTGTGTGTCACCCTCATCGTCGTCCGTCTCGTTACCCCGGCGGTGTGCCCCGTGTCTGTTTTGTTTTCTCCTCCGCAGCCGGGGGAGAAGATGCTTACGGAGTCGTTGTATCCGTGCATCATGCAGATGGTGTCGGCGAACGTGTGTCGAGCGTTGCCCCCGGCAACCGACGACTTCGATCCTGAGGAGGACGAGCCTGTCTTGGAACCCTCGTGGCCGCATTTACAGGTTATCTATCATGCAGATGGGCGTTCCGTGGCTCCCTCCCCCCCTCTCCGCGTGTTGTGTTGTCGTATTTCGATGGGGGTTCCGCGGTTGTGCTGACCTGGTTGTGCGCGCGTCCCTCCCCCCCTCTCCGCGCGTGATTGCCGATGTGTTGATGGGGGTTCCGTGGCTGTGTGTCCCCCCCTACCCCCGTGCCTGCGTGCGCGAATTATTTCACGCATGCAGCGGTCGGCCCGATACAGTAAACAATCTGAGAACCAGCCCGCACCAAATCGCTGGCAACAACGAACGAAGTCAGCTCGCTGTTGCTTGTTTATTTCTCTCGCTCGAGCGACGGCAGTGTTTCGGCGTGTCTTGTTGCTTTGCTTGTCGGCTCCTTTTCCCCACATGCTCAGAACTGTTTGTTACCCTGTTGGTTATGCACTCGTGCAGTACCTTGCGCGCGTGTATGTCCGCTCTGGTTCATTTTGTTTCCTCTGTTTGTGCTATTTCCTTGTGATTATTGATGATGAACGGTTTTGTCATCGTTTTCTGGCGTGGCGGCCACGTTTTTTTTTTTTGTGGGTGTGCGGCAGTTGGTGTACGAGTTCTTTCTTCGGTTCGTTGTTTCGACCGAGGTCAACGCTAAGGTGGCCAAGAAGTACATCGACCACAAGTTCTGCTTCCAGCTCATAGAACTCTTTGACAGGTGAGCCTCCGTAGGACTGCTGTGCCAATCGTGCATCATTGCAATCCTTTGATTTTTTCACTCGAAAGTTGGCCACTTGGAGGTACTTTTGGTGCTGGTCGCGGTGAACCCTTCATGTATCTGTATCTTGTTTTTGTCAGGTTCGATCTTATTGGTTGCCTACTTGGCGACGTGCATGATGCGGGGGGTATGTTGGCGTATCTGGTCATGGCGTTATATTGGTCTCATGTCGTGTCTTGTCACTGTTGAACTACGTCGCTGCTGCTATTGTTGCATCAGTCCGCGGTGAAAGGTGGGTGTCTACACACGTGTTGGGCTCATTTGATCGTGGCAATATGCCTACGTCTGGCTGCCTGGACAGTGGCAAACCCCCAAAACTTAAGAGCAAGGGGTGACGCTGGCTCAATAACCCACGTGCAGCATGAGTGAACCCACTGCATGTGTTGCTGAGCCTCTCTGGGGAGAAAAATGTTTTGGATAGTTTTTTTTTGTGGCTATTTGGCTATTTCTTTTTGCTCTACCATTTTTCTGTGCCCTTCATGTACCTCTGATTTTCGTCACACATGTGTGCCCTGTTTTGGGTAGTTGGCAGTTGAACCAGTACGGATGGTGCAAGGTCGATATACCAAGGGGACTGTTTTATATGTGAATACAACAACAACAACAACAACAACGCTTCGTTTACGGCGGGTAGACCTAAAGGTTCTCACTTGTTTTTGACAGAGGCTGAATCAATTGGGTTGATTGATGGATAAACGGGAGGATCAATCGCGGGAAGGTGTTGGTTGTACGCAACCTTTCGATGCCTTGATTTTGCAGTGGTTTTGATCACTTCTCCCGAATCACGCATGCGATCTGTTCTTTCCTCTGACCCCCCACCCCCGAACATTGTTCGACTACTGTATTCAGCGAGGACCCCCGCGAGAGAGACTACCTTAAGACTATCCTCCACCGAATCTACGGGAAGTTCATGAACCACCGCTCACACATCCGGAAAACGATCGGGAACGTCTTCTTCCGGTTCGTGTACGAAACGGAACGTCACAACGGCATCGGTGAGCATAGATTGATGCGCTGTTTTTTTATTCGTTGCGTTTCGTTGCTACTGGTTCGTGGACTAAACGGAACGAGGCGTCGGTGAGCAAACACCTGTAATACTGTGTTTTTTTGGGGGGGGTGTTCTTTGCTGCCGGTTCGTGTACAAAACGAGACGCCACAACGGCATCGGTGAGCACATGCGTGTTGTTTTTTCTTTGTTGCGTTTTGTCGCTGCCGGTTTGTGCACGAAACGAGACGTCACACGAATTGTTTTTTCTGTGTTGCGTATAATCGCTGCCGGTTCGTGTACGAAACGAAACGCCACAACGGCACCGGATGAGCGCACATGTATATCTTGTTTGTGGCAAGGTGTTCATTTGTTAGATTCAACGGTATCGGTGAGAGCATATTGACTGCTATTCGTCGAAAGGTGTTTTCCAATTTGGCAGCTTGGTTGAGGACGACTTTTCCGCTGTGGGCTTGTCTCCTTCATCTCATTCTCTTGAAACGCTTTCTGTTGTTCAATACTTCTGAGACATCGGACGGAAGGCGTCTCGCGCCCCGTCTTTGTGTCTTCCCTTCCTTTCCTCCTATTTCTTTGGTACGTGCGTTTATTTACGAGTGCTTTTTCCTTCTTTTTTCCCGTTGACCTCGGCGCGATGAAAATTCAGGGGAACTGCTAGAGATCTTGGGTTCGATCATCAACGGGTTCGCGATCCCATTGAAGAAGGAGCACCTGCTCTTCCTCCAGAAGGCGCTCATCCCCCTGCACAAGCCCAAGTGCGTCTCCCTCTACCATCAGCAGCTGAGCTACTGCATCGTGCAGTACGTCGAGAAGGATCCAGAGACGGTCATGCCGGTGCTAAGGGTGAGCCGGCGTTTGGTGGTGGCTGTGGCGGGTGTGGTTGGTGTTGTTGCTGGTGCTGGTGCTGGTGATAGGGGTAAGCCTGCGTTTGGTGGTGAGCGTGGTGGGTGTGCTTGTTGTTGGTGCTGGTGCTGGTGCTGGTGGTGATCGGTGTTGTTGCTGGTCCTGGTGCTGGTGCTGAGGGTGATCGGTGTTGTTGCTGGTGCTGGTGCTGGTGCTGAGGGTAGGCTTTCGGTTGGTGTTGCCGTTGTTGGTGGTAAGTGGATGTTGTTGGCGCTCGGTTTGCCGGGCGGCGGCCGTGCTATTTTGTTCACAGTGTGGTACTAGCCAATGTTGTCCTTCTTGTCGTTGGTTAGTTGTAGATTGTGGTGGTTGGCGGTGTTGGTGTTGTTACTGCTCGGCCTGTCGGGTGGTTTTCTTGTTGTTACTGCTCGGCCTGT